GTGTGTGTGTGTCTTTTGAACATTTGTTTCCAAAGTTTTCCACTATGTTGCTAGTGGGGACGTGGCGAAAATGGCAAACAAAGTTTAACAAACTCAAAATTAAGTTTAATTAACAAGTAGAATGGGAAAAAGGGAAAAAATTCAAAAAAATTGTAACATATGATTTAAATATCTCCTTACGAAATTATGAATTGAACCACGAGTACCTTTCCCGGTCATTTTGTTCCCGCCAGGCCGTTAGCACACCGCATCCTTCAGGGCTCGGCCTACCGGATCAGAATGGCTGACTGCACCAGGCCAAAAAGACAAAGATGCACCCGCCACCAGTGTTTTTTTTATTAGTGCAGGGGAAAGACGCGTAGGGAAAAAGATGCTTGGAGGTACTGGTGGTGGTCTATAACAGAGAAATTGAAATAATTGTATAAATACTATAAAACATACTTGCAAGCGCACGTCGTGCGGGCGGTTCCCTACGTGTGGCGCACGCGCCCAACTGATCCCCTGTGGCGCACAACGTGTGCAGAGAACGACCCGTCACCCCCCTCAGAACAAAACAAAAGGCCGGGGTCGAAACGGTGCGTTTGAGGCCCCCCGCCAAAATTATAAGCGAGAATGTGCGAGATGAAAAAAAAAATTACAGGAGTACCGCCTCACCTTGCTTCTGCTCCCCTTCCTCATCCTCCATGTCTCCTCCTCCCTTCTCCTTTTCGTCTCCTCCTCCTCCTCCTGTTCGTCCTCCTCCTCCTGCCCTTCCTCACCCTCCTTGTCTCCTCCTCCTCCTCGTACTTCCTCACCTTCCATGCCTCCTCGTCTCCTTCCCTTCCTCGTGTCCTCCCCTTCCTCGCCGTCCATGTCTCCTCCTCCTCCAACTCGTCCTCATCCTCCTGCCCTTACTCTTTTCCCTTCGTCCATCTCTTCTCCTCCCCCATCTCGATGACTCCTCCTCGTCGTCCTCCTCGTCCACATCCTCCTCCTCCTCTCCATATCCCCCTCTCCTCGCCATATCCCCATCTTCCTGTCATACGCCCCCCCATTCCCCCTCCCCACAAAAGATAAAATAATAATAATAAAAATAAAAAACCTGCATGATTCCACACAGGCACCCCCCGCACGGAACTCCGCACGGAACTCCGCACGAATGTGCGGCTCGTGCGATTGCAAGTATGCTATAAAATTGTATTTAAAATTTTCACGAAAATCTCAAAAATGGGGAAAAAAAATGGAAAATATATTAAAAATTACTAAATTAGCAGATAGTAATTACTAATTACTAATTACAATTACATATGAGATGATAGCATTAGTATTCAATATTAGTCGTTGGGTTTCTGACCTGTTGCCATTGCAGCTTTTTTGCTGCGCATTCTCGGATACCCTCTAGATCTGACAGTACACCAAGATCCCACTGGCCGAGGTACCTGGAAACACGAGATGCATTCCAAAGCCACGAATGCAGAAAAACAAAACAAAACAATAAGTCTCTCTCTCTCTCTCTCTCTCTCTCTCTCTCTCTCTCTCTCTCTCTCTCTCTCTCTCTCTCTCTCTCTCTCTCTCTCTCT